TACCAAAGATTGTACTCTTATGCATATACGGTGACTATACCACGTGTGGGACAAGCTTCCGGAACACGTAAAGGCTGATTCGGAGATACGAACTTATCGTCGCTGCGACGAGCACTACAATCAACTGTGACAGCAAATTGATGATCCCGTACCTAAGCTAAAAGACTGTAGCTAATGTCGGTGTCGCGCAGCGGTCTGCTGAATCGAGAGATAAGCGCGCTTCTTTTCGAGTTACATATTCCGGGCTACCAGTTTTGCAGTCCGGGCACTCGGCTTACGATTAGCCAGAGGTAACGCGGGCATAAATCCACTGGACACGGCGTGCCGAGAACATGACATTGCGTATTCTCATCGATAGATATGCGGCAAGACTCCCCGATAAAATGCTAAAACGCGTCGTCGCGAGAGATTCGACTCTAAGCAAGAGAGTGACCGTCGCTGCCGCCTGGGCAGCGATGAATGCTAAGACTAATATTGGCATAGTCATGAAATCGAAAAAGAAGACAAAAAAAAAAGGCAATGAAAAAGCGGATACTTTCAATGGCAAAACAAGGTGGCGCATTACCGTTTCTAACAATGTTAGACGCGCTCGGATCCTTGATCGGCGGGGCAGCCAGCGCGGCAAAAACGACAGCAAAGTCGTGCGGCGTAAGTTCGAAGAGCTGCAGCGTCGATCACGCGATGGAACAGGATTGCGGATTGTATCTTTCTCTTCGTACAAATATGGACGCGGACTGTATCTCAGCCCGTACAAACGCGTACAGGGCGTAGCATCGAAAAAAAAAACGTCAAAAAAATGATAAGAATGCCGTCTGGTGCAATTACTAACGTGCAATTGGATGAGTTTGCAAGACGTATGTGTGTATCGTAATTTAAAGGTATCTTCATGCGTAACGCATTACCGACGAGCGACGTGCGCTGAAACGAAAGCGGTATCTGGACAATGCGACGGAACTCGGTCACTGGGTAGCGTACGCGAAGAGGAACAATCGCGTCGTGGATTTTGACAGTTTCGGCAATCTTCGACCGCCTAAGGAATTAGTGCAGTATTTCAAGAACGGTGTTACAACAATAGAGTACTATCGCTCGTCCTATCAAACGTATGATCAGAGCTTTTGTGGACAGATGCGGTTTCAACGAACGGTCGACACGCGTGAATTTAAAAAGCTCGACGATGCTGTGAAATGTTAGTATTGGTTGAACGCTTTTTTCGTTATGTCGCTGACGCTGACGCTCACAGGGAAGAGCATGATCTTCGCAGCGAACTACTTTCCCGCCATAGATTTGAGTGACGGCAATTACGAGCTCGGTCTGGCGATTTTTGAGACTTATCACACAATACCGAACGTGAACGAATCGAACAACAAATTTTATTTCGCCAAAGACGACGCGGAAATTACAATCCCCGAGGATTTGTAAGCAATGCAAGATATAAATAAATTTTTGAAACGCGCGGTTTTACGAAAATGTCCGCGTTGCGACGTGCCCGATGCTGATGATATGACACAAAACGACAACAATAATTACAACAATTGCAATAACAACGACATCGATGACGATGGTGAAGAATACCCGATAACGCTCTGCACAAACTACAACACGATGAGATGTGAGATTAGATGTACCTACAGAATGAATTTTGGCAAGCCCAACAGCATTGGATCGCTGCTGGAATTTTCGTCGAATCACATACTGCGACCGCGAAGAATCGGACATGTCGATCAACATAATAAACGTTAATTGTGTAGGGTTTAACGTGACCGCGGGCGCGTACAGCAATGACAAAAGCGCGCACACAATACATGAATTTTCGCTGAGAGTGTCGTCGGAATATAAAATATCGGAACGGTCGGCGAATTTACCTGCCTATCATCGTACAGAGCATTACGGATCTAACATGTCATTGACTAGAAAAACGGACGATTGCTCGATTTTCGAAGAGAAGAAATTACCGTTAGAATACACGTACGACGACGACAGTGTAACGCGAGTGTGAAATGGACATGCTAAACAGAACGGAATGCAGAGAGATAACGCATTTTTTACAAGATCTGTAACGTCACAGCTCGATAACACTCGCTCATCCAGCTATATCAGGAAGAACAAGAAGCTCAGCGCGTCGAACATGAAATTTTTACAATCTTTGGGATTCGCGGTGTGCAACATTTGAAATGACTGGTATCCTAAATATTAAGAATGATCCAATCGCATCGTTAAGATTGAAACTCACATATACAACCCGTTCGCCAACACAACGTTCGAGTACAGCGAAATATGAATATTCATACAGCAACAGGATCTATACATACTGCCATACGAAAGCTTTCTATACTTTGAAGGAAAACCGATGAAGAACAGAACGATCGAGGGTGCTAACAGGGTGACATTAAGAAATAATTGCGTCACGTTTATATTTGATGAAATTCGATACGAACTCAACGGAGATTGACCGTAACAGAAACGTGGACATAATTAGCATTAGTCAAAAACTATGTAACTGTCGTCCGATAGAAGAGTGGTTATGCGGAATGCTGGCTGGGAAGCACAGACTATTGCCGCCGGATACTTTAATTTCTGTGTACCGCTCTACGTACTGTTGGAATTCTGCGAAGATTACAAACGCGTGATGATCATCGCTCGTCACGAATTGATTTTAATACGAGCATACAACAATAATTGTCTGACGGGAGATCCGGCGATAGAGTCGATGCTCGAATTATTCAAAGTACAGTAGCGAATGCCGCACGTATTATTGAGATAAATAAGCTGGCGATGCTGCGCGCTTTGGAGAGTGGATATCTGAGCATAGCTTTTTTTGCTCATAGGATCTGTACGAGATTCCGCTCTTGCAGAGCACAACCAAGCATTCGTGAGCCATCAAGATGGCTACTCAGCTCGAGAAGCCGCGCTACATCATATTCACTCTGCAAACAGATCGAAAAAAATGTCATGTCCGAAAATATAAGTCGATTCGGCAAATGCAAGTTAACCAATGCGAAATTTTATCTGAACTCGGGATTATTCGTACGATGACTTGAATTTGGATTTCGATCAAACAGTGCGATTCTGTATGACATATACGCGCGTTTCTGCAAAAGCTTCTATAGATACGAGTATCTCAAGCCGAATCTCTTTACAACTTTTTTACGTAATGGCCAATTCGTGATCATCGATTGCTTTCGACAGAACGAATCGGTCAAGAATGACATCGTGGACGTGCGATTAGATTTTGAATAAAACGAGAATGTGTCTACAAATACAACGGCCTATTGTCTTATCATACACGATAGCGTGATTTAGTATAATCCATTGACTAACGTTGCAAAATCAAACGTGTGCAAAATCACTTAAATGCATCCTCCGACATTATATAAAATCTATGAGATCCCGTACAGCGAGGCGAAATCTGAGCCTGACGGCTGTATTTGAAGATAATGCTTTCATATACGTCAAGGGATGTGGAAAACGAACGGGTCTGTAGAATTGCTTCTGGATGATGAGCCAGAACGCATATACATCGAGACCTTGGATGCAGTTTACGAAGACATGGAATCTTTAACTAATTTGGATGTTATTAATACTATGCGATGCGGACATGTTAAGAACTGCGCGTTACAAAATGTATTAAAAATATATATCTAGTGGTTGCAAAAGGATTTTTAAATAAATATATGATAACATATTTATTACGTATTTTTTTATCCCTTCTTTTGTAATACATGTACTCGTATGTATGTATGCCTGTGTGTATGAACGTATGTACGTATGTATGTATGTAACGAAACATCGACGCTTCTGTTAAACGCGATATATCCGATCTGACAGTATATATATATATATATATATATTTTCATTCAATCGTAATCTTCAGTTACAAACGTTAAATCATGAACCAAGTAAAAGTATATATTCGTCGAAAGTCGATCGAATGAAAATGATACCGTCCTTTGTCCAAATCCGCCAAGTCCACCGCCAAAGAAAAAAACTAGATATTGAGAATTTCTGAGGAAAAAGCATCAATGTTGGCAACGTCATCAATGCCATCGAAATATAAGCCATATAGTATAAACATTGATAAACTTCCGAACAAAGAAAATACATAGAAAGACGCGATAAACGTGTCGCGACACATTCGCAATTCTTAGAAGGAAGTAGAGGAAGAGAGGTTGCTCCTTCTTCGATTGCACAAGTATTACTATATACGTCACAATTTACGCGGGTACGATCAGTCTTGCGATACCCACTTGTATAAACGGTTGAAAAATATACTTCGCCAAAGAGAGTAGTGCATCATACGAAACGAAGAAAGACTGTTACGCGTAAGTTTCACCGTTCTATACACAAAAAAAAATATTTTTTTACCATTACGTACACAGCATGGATCATCGCGCGAGGCATTTATTGAACTAACGTAACAATCTGACGACTATGGGCTACAAGTATTTGGAAATTGGAATCAACGTTGGTCCACTGAGTTACGTGGAAATCGCCCTGGGAGATTATCACGGACACGAATTGTCGCTGTCTCTCGTAACGTGGAAGGACAATGGAATATTTACAAGATGCTTCAAAACGAATACAAAGACAATTTTATAAGAATTGGACTGCTAACCAAAGTTTGTACGCAGAACGCTCGTACGTCTCGATTCTTCGTCCGTACGCATGACATTGAAACGACTCTACGTCGTATGTTGAGTTTGATGGATATATCGATGTAACGTTCGAATGATTAATCCGACTCGTCGATATGGTCGATGTCAAGTATAGTGATTCTCAACACCGCGTCCGAAGACGCTATACACGATAGCGACATCTTCAATGGACATCAGCTCATGGATTGCGAACTATTAACTTTAGTTTCTAATATGTATAAAAAAAATGTAATACAATGTGAATAAAAAATATTTCATTCACATCACTATATGTACTTTCTTTACTTCATATCCGATCTATCTTATGCCATATGTATCTAACCGTTGTAAGAAAAAAGAACGAATAACAAGTATGAAAATAAACGCGCGCAATTTGGAGGTTAAAATTGATCTTTTTATTTTATATCATTATGCGCACTATTTGGCAACATCACAATCTTTAACTTTTATATGCGTATTATTTGGCAACGTCACGATTGTATCAAAATTACATTGATGATATTATCATCAGAACATGTGACATGTCAAATGGTTTTGGGTGTGAAAAGAAAAAAGGAAGATAGGAGAAGACGGCAACGCATCGAGAAAAAAGTGATAAGTATATGAGATAGTGTGCATGGTGGCAGCGGCAGCGATAGTGGAGGCCCACGACATATTTTACGTAAACACCGATATTGCTGGGACCTTCCCTGCGCCTTTCCTGAGCCTACGAATACTCCCCATGCCTACGAGTACCTCCCGCACCTCGCGCCACCCTCAGACGACCACAATTAGAATCCTTACTATAATCCTACTTTTATGTTGATAACATTATTAATATCTTAGTAACTGTTACATTAATTTCATATTTTTCTACTTGTCGTTCACTTTTGCTTCACACAAAAGTTGTAATATTGCGAGCATTGCTATCTCACTTGCATTCGCACTGTGGGCTCGCAGCTTAGAGGTGACAATCATTCCAAACCCAATGTATTCATCATTGAGTTTGGAATGATTGTCACATGATGATGATGATGCAGGCCTCCGGTTATATCAATCGATATGGGAGTATTCAGGTCCATCATCCTATCCATAATGATTCCAGGCTCGATGAACTTGTCGAACCTTTCTGAAATCAATTTGTTATTTTTTTATCAATTCATTATTTTTTTATTTGTTATTTTTTTATTTATTATTTTTTGCTATTTGTTTTTGTTGTTTATTTTTTGTTATTTGTTATTTTTATATCAATTTGTTATTTTTTAATATCAATATTAACATTTATAAATAATTGAAATATTTTTACGTGATTTATGTTCATTGTTTTGTGACATATTGCCACTGCGATCATCAACAGATATTTCTGTGATGTCTAGCGAAATATCTGGACTGTTGGTAATGTTCAATATCGTCCTAGAAAGGAAAGGTTAAAATTATATTTTGATCTTTTAATAGCTGTATGAATTACATTTATATATAACGTATACATTACACATATTCGTGTTTGCATATCATGCAAAAAACTAAGCCTATCAGAGTGGAAACATCTAACCTTCTTGGCAACCGTAGAATCACTTGGCTATTTGTGAGCTTTGCGAAGTCTCCTGAACGTATCGAATAATGACTTCCACTTCTTTTTTATCTCTGTTACAGTCATTTCTCCTAAAAATAAAGAACGTGATGAATACATTTGTAACAGACATGGTTTCCACATCTCAATTACAAAATGATACCTTTCATGTTGTCAGTAATCTCTTCCCACAACTTCTCCTTGGCACGGGCGCTCCGGTTGGATATGTGCAATTTAAAATTCCAAAGAGGTGGTCGTTTCCGTACTTTCTCTATGAGAAGTTTCTCATTGCGTACTTTCCTTGCAAGCAGATTTGTTAAATGATCACTGCTATTAAAACTCTTCTTCTATGTTTGTTTCCATTACCTCGGCTTCTTCCTGGTTAGCTCTTTCTCGTTCAACTTCTTGTTGCTCGGCCTCTTCTTCAATCAGGATCTCTTGTCCTGCAACAACTTTTTCTAATGATCGAGCCATTATTTGTAAAAATATGAAGATATAAACATCACCTGCCATTTAATATCTGCAGTAATTTCACACACTATACTGTAACGTGACAATTTTTATCAGTCACTGTTGGCGATATTTCTGCGAGGATCTTGCGTCCTACTGTCTCCGAGTACGAGCGCGCAAGCACACATGCAAGCGTGCACTAATTATTCGGCTGTTTGTTTTCTTTTTGGATCCTTTTGTTGCAAATTTATTTTTTCTGTTTAGTCGTCTCACATTTAGATTTGTTGTTATCAACTGATCGTGCTCGGTGACTAAAGAAAATTATTCTGTAATTTCACCCATTAACGGAAGAAAAACTACTGAGCAGAGACGGACGAAACGCAAGAGCCTGCTGAGAGCCTCACTCGGAAATCCGCACACACAGGTCGTATAATTTCGTATATTTTATGTTAACGCTGCCGTTCAGAGTCCTGTTGCACGCCAATTACAGGAACAATGAGAGAGAGAGAGAGAGAGAGAGAGAGAGAGAGAGGAAGGGGGAGCTCCTGGCATATCGGATAGCAGAGGACGCTGCCCATTAGAGATAGAGGCAAATCTAAACGGAACAGGTGACGGAGCTGATTTCGGAGCCCGAGATTTCTTAAGCCGGCCCGAATAACCGAGAAGCTGCTAAAAGCAGAGGAATCAATCTATTGTATAATTGTATTATGCCTGTATCACACTAGCGATTGGAGATTGCGTTCGCGTTTGCGTCTGCGATTATTTGTTGACCAATCAGAAAAGAAATATTGGCGATTGCGATTCACGATTACCATTTAGACATCTGTCTATTTTTCATAATCGTAGACGCAGACGCAACCAATCACAAAGTGACTTTGTAGTCATGTGACCATGTTGATCATGTATCGAAACGAAAATTGAAGACAACATTTCTTGGAAAAAATGTAAAATTTATATCGATGAATCATGCCGAAAAAAGCTGATATATTTTCAAAAGATACTGAATTTATATTAATTAATTTAGTTGAGTGTAGACCTATCCTCTTTGGAATTATACTTCTGAGCTCTACAAAAGAGTAGATCTGAAAGATGCAGTTTGGGAAGAGGTGGCTCGTTCTTTAGCACTTCATTTTTCAGATAGATATTTTATGTGTATTAATGTTGAGAAAAACAGATTGAAAAATTATTTCTAGCTATATTATTAATTATTTCTAGTCAATAGCTAGCACACATTATAGTGTGCATAATGTGAAAAGGTTATGTATACAAATAAACTAATGCATTTACAATAAAATATTTTCTTCTACAGGTCCTATTGTAGCAAGCAGATTTAAAAGTATGAGAGATACTTTTATGTCAAATTTAAAGAGAGTAAAGGAGTCCAAACGCAACGGAAAAGATCCTGCAGATATTTATATCCCTAAGTAATATTTGTATGATTGTTTAAAATTTTTACAAAAGACAGTAATTCAAAGTACTTCCACCTCAAATCTCACTATTTCCTCGGAAAAGTTTGACGATACACAGATAGAGCAGACTTTAAATGAATCATTGAATCAGTGTCTACCACATAGAGCAGAGGAGGACCAAGAAAAGCAAATCGTTACAGAGGAACTCTCAGTTATAAACATTTATTATAATAACTCTATGGAAGTACGACTATTAAAATTATTATTATTTCGACAATATTTGAATAAATTTTATATAAGGAATTAGTAGAAGTTATTTGAAATATATATCAAATTATATTCACGAAATTTGTTGTAGAAATTTATTGCATCAACGCCAACGGAAAAATCATTCGATAGTACTACAGATATTGTATATCCGTATTATCTGTAAGTTTTGTAAGCAATAAATTAAAACTATTTATTGATGTCATCAAACTTCCAGAATATTAATCTTTTTTTTGTATTCAGCAGCCAACATCTTCTCCACTTCATTCTTGGCAGCCTATATTTGCTCCTATTTACAACTTTGCAAAAAATGAAACTGTTTCTACGTCAACAGTATCAACAAGCTCTGTATTTACAACATCTGCTTCTAAAAGATAAGCTATACACTAAACGAGGATACGCTAAAAAAAAAGTTAACTTTGATCATACATAGTATGTCTGAAAAGTTCCCGGACTGAAGTTATAAAACATCAGAGGTTTAAGGTTTCATCTTTTCTTTTATTTAGGCTTCTTCATAATTTCCTCTTCTTTCAATATACATTTTAGATCGAAGATATAATATGATTGGAAATATTGTAATAATTCTCTTTTGGAACCACCTTCAGCTCACGTATTACATTAGCTTGAATGGTTGGTATATCCTCAAAAAACTGTTTTTTTAAAAGCATTTTTATTTTGAGGAACAAAAAGAAATCTGCCGGTGTGGGATCGGGAGAATACGGAGGGTTTATCACTATAATCTGACGTTTGTTCAAAAACCGTGATACAATTAAGGCAGAAACGCTGACGCGTTGTCATGAAGGAGTGTTCAATTCCCAGAAGCGATAAAATCTCGTCTGACACGTCTCATTCGATTCAAAAGGCGTTTCAAAACTTTTAAATAAAATATCGAATTAACGGTTTGTCCAGGTGGTACAAATTCATGATAAATCAATCCTGCAGAATCAAAAAATATGATGAGCATTGTCTTCATTTTTTATTTTTATTGGCGAACTTTTTTGGTCTTACTTTATTAGAGGCTACCCATGCAGACGACTGTCTTTTTATTTACGGATCATACATGAAAAACCATGTCTCGTTACCAGTAACAATAATTTTTATGAAATCTGGATCCTTGTCTGCCTTGTTCAACAAAGTCACGACAACAATTCATACGCATTTCTTTCTGTTCTAGAGTTAAAAAATGTGAAATAAAACGCGCACAAATTTTTCTTCTACGTTCAAATCCCCATGAATAATGGTAGAAACAGTGTCTTTACCGATTTTTAACTGTTCAGATATCGTACGAAGTGTTAGACGAGGATCCTTGGTTAGTAAAGAACACATAGCTTTCATAGTTTCCTCATTTCGAGCCATCGACCATCTCGCGTCGTCATCCAGTGACTGCTGGCCTTCCTTAAAATGTTTAAACTACTCGAATGTTACTGTGCGTGACGATGCATCCTCTTCGAATGCTGTTTTCATCATTTCATGAGTTCCATTGCAGTTTAACCAAATTTGAAACAAAACTTGATACATGCTCGTTGCTTCATCGTAAAAACTTGAACGGCACGCTTAACACATAAATCAAAACACGTCTTCACTTACCAAGTATTCAATTGATATTAATATAACTCACACATATTCTGCTTCTTGCTTCTATTCTATGAAGCTTCTTAGGAACTATTTCTAATATAGCCGTTAGATGGGGTGATTGTCTTGTCATAAGAAAAAAAAATCAGTCCGGAAACTTTTCAGACATACTGTGTAATGATAATAGTGCAATAATGGCAGAAGCAATTACTGCTATTAAAACTTTGTGCAAACAGGATCCAAATCCAAATAATTCATCAAACTCATCCATATCTACAGACTCCGCTCATACATTAGGATTATTTGTCGCAGAAAGATTGCGTGAAATGACAACTGATCAACGTAGGCTGTGAAAATGAGATACTAAAAGTACTGTCTCAGTTTTAATATATATAACATTTTATTATCTTTCATATTTAATTTCTTATTATATATTTTATTTGTATTACCTTATATTATATTGCGTACTTGAGCTTTTTATTTACCAAAGAAAAAATTAGAATTCAATACAATTAAATCATATTTAGTTATTATGTAGTAAGTATTCAAATATAAATTCTTATTATCTGCAGTAATTAAGTATTAAGTTATATGCAAATATTTTTACACAAAACTATATACGCAATTAAAAATATCTACTTATTATAGATTTAATATTTAAATAGCTGTGTGTTTCTCAGGAACATTGTTTATTCATATAAGTATTTTTTTATATATAAACATTTTATTTATAATTATATTTGACATTTTAAAGTACATATATTAATGTATATTATGTAAAAACTGTAAAATACAAGACAGAAGTTATATAAAAGTATATTATTCTTATATAATTTCATCTTGCCATGGTATTCTTTCAACGGTATAAGGGGACATACTCGTATAAGAAGACCGGGGCTAATAGACTCATTTTTCAATTTCGAATTTTTACAGACAAAATTAAGAGACTTATCAAAAAAATGAATTCTACACCAGTTACTACATACATTTGATTACTTAATAATATTTTAATAATAAGGGGAAACTAATGATTAATATGAAAAAAAATGCATTTTTCTAATGCATTCCATCTGATTCAACTTATCCCAGGACTGGGGTAATTCGAGTAAGATTATTAAAATAAAGTATTAATGTATTTGAAGCTACATCTTTGGCTATTAATAAAACTTTTATAAAAATATATTTTAAACAAACATTCGCTTCACAGAGCAAACAATACTTTTTTTTTGCAAAATTTGTTCATTTCGCAAAAACACGTCGAATAAACCTAGTTTTCGAGATTGGACATGAGGGAACTGTAATTATAATTATTTAAAGAGATTTACTACTGAGGAAAATCTCTTTAAAGGAATAAAATTTTGAGTAAGTATTATAAAAGTCATCACTAAATAAGACATACAGTTTTACTGTGCTGCAGTCATGCTGTGGTTAATCTACTATCCCCATCATCCGTTAATTTTTTAAAAACATTAACAATATAATAGAGATACATAAACAAAAAAAATCTATTGGACTTTAGTAAGTAAGAATTACACTATCTAAGTAGAAATCAAATATCTCAGACAATCATATGCAATAGTAAAATAAAAACTTTAAGAATATAACTTTAATAATAAAAATATTTATTAGGTGAATGATTTTTTAAAATTGTGGCTTCATAGATGTATTCGCAACAAGATGTTACAGCAGACTTAGGCAGTCGCTGCTGCGTGCTCAGACACGTTTACGCATGTCTCGCGTGTTTTGTTTTTAATGTAACCTCGATTATTTTACTTATCTCTATATTCAACTGACCCCGGTCTCCCCTACGTTTGTCGATTTCAAAAAAATTGTTTATGCATTTTTCGACAGTTTGAATCTTCGAGAATATTGTCCTAATACCATTTTTTGAAATTCCAATAAATAAAAAAGTTATAACGCACAGACGTGCACTACCCGACAAAACGCGTTGTAACTTGTTCTTTCTGAAGCGACTGTTGCAGAATCTAATGGCATTGTCGCAGAATTGAATTCACATATTCTGACATGTCAAAATGCTGCGAATTCTCTGAAATTGCGTACTCTGAAATTGAATATCGATGAGTATCGCTCGCATTCGTCGATGTTCATACGAATGTAAGCGATACCCGTCGATGTCACTCTCTATGCAATTTCAGAGAATTCGCAGCATTTTGACGTATTTTAATACGTGAATTCAATTCTACGTGATATTTGTTTTTCTTACGATGAATAAGCATAAAAGTTCTTGAAAGCCACAGCAAGAGAACATGTTTGGAAAAAATTTTACACGCAAGCGAAAAATGTTCTCCACCTAATAAGTGGCAAGGTGAAACCGCAACGATAGAAAGTTCGGCGAAGAAACTGCAGAGACTCAGTGACGTACTTGTGTCTGAAGACAACAATTTTAATTTTAGAATTTTGAATTTTAATTCGGTGTTTGCTGAAATTTCAAACGGAAAGCACGCGAGGGCTTCAAGATCTTGTTGTGTGAAAATTATCAGCTAACTGGAATTCTTTCATGTCCAAAAATGGTTCGGCGTATGAAATTAATCGTCAATTTTCTTTTACGATGCAGTGTTTAGGCCACGGATCAACCGGTGAACGTAAATTTTGCGGTTTAATAAACTTGTCTCCTCCCGTTATACAGAGTACGTATGACGAAATTCAAAAAAATATTTACATAGCATGGCGATCTAAGGCGATCACTGAAGTACTTATGCGAAACGCAGTTGAAGAAGAGCAATTACGAACGAGTTTGAAAGAAGGAAAAGTAAATGTCATGGAATTAGTTGTTTCGGGGGATGGAATATGGCAGAAGCGCGAATTTTCTTCTTTATTCGGCAGTCATTATCATATCGGCGTGC